ACCATAGTGCTGCGACCCGAACCGAATCCACACTGCTCTTCCGCCACATTAGGTTCCACAACCTGACTGACGAGATGGTTGAGCAGGATTCGGGCAATCACCTTGCCCACACAACTCAGCAAGTTGATGCCACGATAATTCGTGCAACATTGTTTGCTCCGTTTGCCCTTGTACAGTAGTAGCACAAGGGCATCTTTCAGCTCAGGAGGCACCTCCTCCTCAATCCATACGCGTTGCACCAAGTGGTACGGCGCAGTCACCAACGCAGGTCCGCCTTATTTCAATACTTCAGGCGGGATCCATTCAACTCTGTCACGCTTGCCGTTTCGCAGCTGAGCAAGTGCTCTCTGCATCTCATCCGGTGTCGGCGTGTCCGCCAGACTCGCCTTCCCATCGTGCTGTTTGAGGCTGTTCAATGTAGGCCAGTCGATCTCTGAACGGTTGTTCAAGAGACAATGTGTTTTTGCCAGATCTGCGCTCTGTGTGCAGGTAGCGCCTGTGCTACCATATATCAGCGTCCTCATCGGCTCCCAGCTCGGTTCATACACCGCCTTCAAGGAGTCAAAGAATTCATTGTGTTGGTGGCGTTCGGCGTAGCATTCCATCTGCTTCGCCTTCTCCGTCCACCATGCATTTTTAATGCGACGGAGCTCTCGGGTCAGTCGTCGTCGAATTTGCCCAACCTTTCTCTTCCTCCTCAAATTACTGGGGTCTGCGACATGTGCAGCAAATGCTGCATTCTTCTCCGACACCAATGCGCCAATCGTTGCATTGTTCTCATCAAACCAATCAGACCGTTTACAGTTTGCGCGCCCGATGGTCTCCTCGGCAGCAGCTGTCACCTCGTCACGAATGTGGTGCGACGGGTGGCCCACTGTGGCAACCGCGTAGTATCTCGCCCTCTGACGAAACCATATACCTTGATGTGTTGTTTGTGTTTTCTTTTACAATTTCTGTACCTGCTATTGTGTTCCTTGGTTTCTGATGGTTTTATGTCTATTCATAGACTGTTGCAAATGCACTATTGCTATACATTCCACATCACACAGTCGTGCAGCCATCGCCTTCTGCTGCTCAATACGTTTCGCCACAGTACCGAGAGAGAG